TGCTTCCTCGCTGGTTGGTAAATTTGATTTCTTCATTCGGGGACGATTTATTTGAGCTAGGAGGACTCAACGGAGCTCTCTTTCTCACCACATTACACTGGAAATTCTCCAGGGACATCCAGCCTAGACTGGTGCCGTCAGTGTCCTCAGAAAGCTTTTCTGACACGGCCTCAAGAGATGCACTCCCATTCTCGAAATGCGCGCATGGCGGAGGGTCGTCTTTTCCAATTTCACCAGACTTCAGCCGATCGATACTGCAAAAATTTGTATGGTAAGTATGGTTGTTTTTTACACCGTTGGAAAGCTTTGGACCTCAGCTACGCGTGGAGCACCATTTTTGTTGTCTCCTAGCAACAAAACTCACATAAAATGCGATTTTACTGTAAGGGTCACATACGACCCTTTCGCTTATGTGAGACCCATAAAGGGTTAAAGGGGAAGTATACCCTAAAATCAAATTTTCACCAGTTGTAGTCTTCTGTGTGCTGAGTCGAATGGTCTTGGTCCGAGGAAGCTGCGACGCTCCCTTCCTACTTGAATCCCAATCGAACTCGCGCACTTCCACCGAAACTGGGTGACTGCGGCCTACTAGATGGGGATTTGTATGCAAAATGTCACTAAAAGCGCCATTTCGTTCTTATAAAAGCACGGATGACCGCGATTGGCCCATATGCTGTAGTCTTTTGGACGCTGAGTCGACTGGTTTTGGTCCGAAAAGGCTGCGATGCAGCGTTCCTTCTTTATTCCCAATCGAACATGGTTGAACAAGCGGTCACGTGCTCCTGGGTGCCCAAATCACCTGGTCACCGCGCCAGCAGGCGACAACTTTCACACCAAGGTTCAACTCGAGTTCAACTCGAGTGACAGGACTGCACCCAAAAATGGTCAAACAGGCTAGTAAGTTGTACCCTGCAGGCACGGTGACCAGGTGACTGGTGTACGCAGGAGCACGTGACCGCTTGTTCAACCATGTTCGATTGGGAATAAAGGAGGAACGCTGCATCGCAGCCTTTTCGGACCAAAACCAGTCGACTCAGCGTCCAAAAGACTACAACATGTGGGCCAATCGCGGTCATCCGTGCTTTTATAAGAACGAAATGGCGCTTTTAGTGACATTTTGCATACAAATCCCCATCTAGTAGGGCGCAGTCACCCAGTTTCGGTGGAAGTGCGCGAGTTCGATTGGGATTCAAGTAGGAAGGGAGCGTCTCAGCTTCCTCGGACCAAGACCATTCGACTCAGCACCCCGAAGACTACAACTGGTGAAAATTTGATTTTAGGGTATACTTCCCCTTTAAAGGGAAACTGAACGCCAAAAATAAGTTTGGCTTATCCGAAGGGAAATTGGGCACTGATTCCGATGAGCTATGTGTCGAGCCGATCAGAGAAGAGGAACCGTGTCAAATTTCATAAATAACACCTTCCAATATTTGGAAATTGGGCTTGATGACGCGCGAATTGCTTAGCTGTCACCATGCTGTGCATGCTCAGCAGTGTAATTGAATGGCAGAAAACAATTACTTTGGTGTTTTGCAGCTCTATTTCGTTCCCTGACGGGAACCAAATCTAGATGTAGGGATCTGTTGAGCAGGAGAGTGACACATGTCTTCCCGAAGGCTGTCCAGGCTGCAGTGCCGTGGTGATGAAGAAGACACGATCATCACCCCGAGATCGATTGTAGCGATTGTACCGGTGCGCTCAGCTCATGCAGAAATCCAAATTCCCGCTCTTCGCCATGGCCTGAGTCACGCGGGTCACTTTTTACGTGTTTGGCATGCACTGCATTTGACTGTGTGAATGCACAGGCGTTGCAAGTGGTTTGTACAGTCATGTAAACGCGAATTTTTGTACCGGGTGTGAATGCAGCCTTAAAAGCGATGCAAACTTTTCATGTGTGACCGCGGCCTTAGTGGAGGCCGAACTGTGAAAAGGATTAGCCTCAGTCAGCATGATCAAAACGCGACGCAGCTCACCAGAGCAAGGTGTGGGTCCTCTTCCGGTGGCGAAAGGCGGGCTCACGCCCCTACATGGCTACTTCCCATTGTCTAACCCCCAAGACAATTATGTAGCCGACTGGACGAAATTAAAAAAAAACCGAGTGGCTCAGGATGAATGACTACAATGTACTGTGGCGGACATGGAAATCCAGTCGATGGACCGGGGCCGGCGCCCTCAGCACGTACAGAACGTCGTCGTTGCATGCAGCGCACATGTTGATACGATGCGACCAGCAGTAGCTCGTAATAATGCATGCCATGGCTGCATAGCCAGCGCCCTGGGGCCGCTAGACGTGCGACCGCATTTCCATGTCCACGACAGTCCCTGCCTGATGATGATGTGTTGTGTAGAGTGCTGCTGTAGATGCCGCCAGCCTTTTTACGCCTTTGCCATTGGCCTTCAACTGGCTGTAGCTACTGCCTGAAAAAAAGGATCTCATTTCCTCTGCCCTGCTTTGCGTCTACTACGATCTAGCCCGGCTGTTTACCACGTGACGTGTACGTGGGTGAACAAACAGGCCTATTGTATGGTCTACATAATAGGGCTTGAAAGTGCTACGTAACAGCATAGCAACAATTTCAAAAATTCAAAAATTGGATCCACTTGGATCCAGTTTTTGTATGGGTCCAAGCACATTTCAAGCCGTCCTACTCTCAGCAAGGTGATGTAACCAGTGAAACTGACTGATTTGGCTACTGGGGGCGGGGTTACAACTGGTGGCGAAGTAAAAGTCACCCCTGCATACGACATTAGTGGGTTGCTATGCACCCACATACTGAGGCAATAGCAAAGTCACACCTTAGTGGATCAAAAATAGAAATCTGATGTCAACTTAGTACTCCCTGGCCGTTTTTGACGTCATCACTTTCAAGCCCTATCTTTAGTACAGGCGACATCGCTTACTAGCACTGTTGCATGTGATGACACTTGAACAGCTAGTCCGCCTCCGCTCTGGCGACACAGACTGTCGGCTTCATTTCGGAGTTGGTGTGAGAGGGTCAGCAGAAAGATCGGCCCGCAATGATTATGTAGACCTACATATGGATGTACACGAGTAGCACTGTACTTTTGTAGTGTGCAGCAGGCAGTAGAATCTGATGTCATGTTGTACAGTCATGTACATAATCTACGCGTTAGGACCCGGTCACACATGCACTGGGATTCGCTTCGGCGACGAGGTTCGGCGGCAGCGAGCCTGGTGTCGCTCCAGCGAAACCACGTGTGTATGGTCACACATACAAACAGGGGACAACTCCTACTTTGGCGGAAAATGAGAGTAAAGTGGACTGTGGTGCATACGGTACGGAGAATGGACGAGGTCAATGACTATCTTGCACGCATTTTTGTTGCATGGACATCATACGCATACAAATTTCTCGTAGCAAGTCCATATACAGCAGACCGTGGTGTTTTCCGCTGAAGCGAATCCGCAGAAGCGACAGTCTCGCTTCGAAAATTTTGGAGGAAGCAGATTGGAGTTTCCGCTGAAGCGGAAGTTCCGCTTTTCGCCGTTGCCATGCCATTTTTCGCTCCTGCGACCTCGCTTCAGCGTATACGCTACTTTCGAGTGCATGTGTGACCGGGCCCTAAATCTACAACTTTTGCCAGATCAGACAGATGAATGAAGCCACAGAGCTCTGGCCGCTGGAGCGTGCAGCGAACGTGTAGATAGGATCTTGGACTGCTGCACCGTCCGCGCTTCAGTTCAATGCGGAATCGTTTTTTTTGCTCGTTGCCGTCTGTGGCAGTGTGGGTGTTCTGGGCGGATGCGTGTTCTGCTTGCGGCCCTTCATATTGTTATTTTCTGGGAGTTTGAGTGACGCTCCGTCGCAATCTGGTTGCGGAATTGAAACGCTTTCGTTCGTTACTTGCCGATCGGCAGGTGGCGTTTAGATTTGTGGGACTATTAATCGTCCGGGTCAACGTTACCAGAATAGCGGACGTCGGACAGGAACCACCCGGCCGTTATCGGGAGCAGGTGCTTCTCCCTGGCTTGAAGTCAGGTAAGCATCTCCCATTCAGTGCCTAAGTTTCACTGAATGTCTGCGCTGAGTTCGAGTAGTACAGCAGTCCTAACCCGTAACGATTTATTGGAAAAGGATTCTGCTGATGTACAGTACGCCGTGTCGTGTGCTCACATTTGTCCCCATGGTATTGTATTGTTCGTAGTGAAGCGCAGCAACGGCAATTCAAACGCGAAGGTATTTTCGGCTGCTGCAATATCCACTCACTCTGAATCCGTGTGCTTTACAAGCAGAGAAAATTAGTCGATGGATAATTTCGTCAAATTCCAAAGAAAGGACTTTTTCCAATCGGAAACGGTGACCATTCAGCAGAAAAACAAAATTGAACATGTACATGGTTATGGCTCATGAGTGCACAATTAGTCGCAGGGCTGCCACACTTGGAGGGAAAAAAATCTGACGGGGGTGCCGGGGTGTCCCCTGCGGGGGTGCAGGGGGCAGGGCCCCCTTGGTGAAAATGTTTAGGAAAATGGCTTGCTGTTGGGGCCCCAGAACTCATTTCTAACTGTCCAGCACACGCACTACAACCATGTCAATTATGAATTAATGGCCAACTGGACTAAAAAGCGCTCGGTTGTCCCTCTTTGGGAACAAAATCGGTTGCTTTGTCGGACAGGCGATCAAAAATCGAAGTAAGTGGCAGCACTGAATTATATTCATTGCCATTTTACGACTATTGTCTCCTCGTAGGTTATTGAAATACTTTGATCCGATCTCTTTGTCATTTTAGGGGAAAATCCCTATCTGTGTGCTCTTTGACCAACTGAGCACATGATAATGACATAGTTGGCTGAGGTTTGATTCGCCTCGAAAAGAGCTTTCTGTGATAAAGGAGAGTGGAATGGCATTGATGGTGGAATTTACTCGCATATTGGGCTTGGGGTGGACTTTGCTTTAAATTCTCCTTCATTCTGTGCTGGAAATCAGTACATAAAGGGATATTTATTTATTTTTTCTTCGTTTTTGTTTCCCTACCATGGCTGGCTACCGCCCCCTCCCTCCATATTGGCCTATATTCTCTGGCCACGGGAAGGTGAAATAAAAAATAAATAATAATAACTAATGCAGCATGCCTGGTGTGCAACAATACCATACCAGTAAAGAAGCTGGTCAAATAGTGAAATAGGGCTTTCAACGCAAGGATCATAACGTGAAGCAAGTTGGTAGGATGAGTATGTTTGCGAAGTGTATGGAAGGAATGCATGCAAGGAGAGAGTGCATGTTCCAATACCACGTTATGTGTGCGAACAATTGGAAAAATGAAGAAGAAGAAAAACGATAAGCTAGCACCACTGCATAATAATAATTACTCCGTAAAATGTACCTGACCTGTCAGTGTGTGTTCAGGATCAAACCCGTGTTACGTATGAAAAAAAATGAAAAAAATGAAAATCTAGCACCATACACCCTAACTACTCCATTCAGCCTCTGGGAAATCCAGATAAATAATAATTGGTTTACAAATCAATTGGCTGGAAATCCCAGTGCCCTCGGTGTGCTTTGCTTTCACGTAGATCATCATGCTTGTTACTTCAGTTTCCTAATCATCAATTTCTATAAAACTGATAGAAACGTCTTTTCAATATGATTATCGTGTACATCTTTATGTATGTTTTTTGCAAAGACGTTTCTATTAGTTGCATAGAAATAGGGATTTCTTATGGTATGCAAGCTCCACTGCACAGCACAGCACTCCACAGCAAACGCGACGCAGCTCACCAGATCAAGGTGTGGGTCCTCTTCCGGTGCCGAAAGGCGGGCTCACGCCCCTACATAGCTACTTCCCATTGTCTAACCCCCACCAAAAAAAAACATTGTTGGGCTTGGTGTGGGCTGTGCAGCATTTCCGTTGCTACTTGCTTGGTAGAAAATTTGAATTTGTTATATGCACAGCGACCATTCTCTGGAACATTTGGCTAGCCTTCAACATCCACCGGCGATTGTGGCTCGCTGGCTGGAATTTTTGTCTGAATGTGAGTTCACCATATTGTACAGGGCAGGTCGATCACACGCTAACGCTGATGCACTGTCACGCCGCCCTGATGCTCCGACGACGCTGTTCGTAGGGGCCGTGAATAACGACGTTGGCAACATCCCCACACCCCTCATCCGCCGTTTCAACTGGCCGTGGTCAAGATGGGAAACGGAACAGGAGAAGGACCGAGATCTCGCCCAAGTAGTGTCCTGGCTAGGTATGGACTCTCCGCCTTGCCCGCAGGATATGATGGGTAGCAGTCGTGAGGTACGTATTTTGTGGAAAAATCATGAAATGCTGGTTCATCATGTTGTGCCGTCGTTGGGAGGACCCCTGCCCCAGTAAGCCATCTCTCTTGCAAGTCGTAGTTCCCCGACATTTACGTTCTTTGGTTTTGCAAGAGTATCATGACCAGGGAGGGGGGGGGGACATACGGGTTCTACACGCCTGCAAAAGAAACTGACGCAACAATATCACTGGGTAGGCATGAAGAAAGATGTCTTAGATTGGGTTGCAAGTGGTTCTTCCTGTAGCCAGTTGAAACGTCCCGTAGGCAAAGGGTCTGGCGCCCCACCACAGTCTTCCTGGACAGGGTATCCTTTTGAGCGAGTAGCAATGGATTTGATCCCCAATTTACCGGAGACAGCGGAAGGGAGCCGCCATATTTTGGTTGTAGTGGACTATTGCTCCTGATCGGTTGCATACCGATCAGGGCAAACACTTTGATGGATCTTTGTTTCACAGTATTTGCTTTCTGCTTGGCATAGATAAGACCAGGACAACTGCGTACCATCCACAGAGTGACGGTCTGCTTGAAAGATTCAACCAGACGCTTGAGCGTGGCCTGGCGCACTATGTCTGCAGGAATCATCGAGATTGTGACATCAAGTTGCCAGCCTTCTTGATGGGATACCGCTCGACGCCGCACACTAGTACCGTCTACTGTCCAAGCTATCTACTCTTTGGTCGGGAGTTATGCCTACCTCAAGACTTGGCATTTGGATTATCGCCAGGAGAAGCATCTGCAGTATCTTCACAGCCGGAATTTGTGATTGCTCTCCGCCGACACCTGGAGGACGCTCATGCGCAGGTCCGGGAACACCTGGGCAACGTGCACCGTTATCAAGCGCATATCCGTGATCGCAACGCTAAGGCCGTGACGCAGGTGACGCAGTGTGGCTTCTGGTGCCAGCTATTCCGACGGGTACAACCGCCAAGTTTGCTAGGCTTTGGCACGGACCGTACCTAGTCGAGGAGAAGCTCTCAGCCGTCACATACTGCATCAAACTGTCTGAGCCCACGGCACGTCGGCTGATAGTGCACGCCAACCGGCTGAAAAGTTGCCATCATCGACCGAGTCGGCTGCAGGAGGTTCACGAGCAAGATGAGTCGGACCCACCGCAGCCCATGGCATCCACCCTGACTCCGCCCTACCAGCCTGATGCTACTGATACCGCCGACCGAAACAAGGAGGACACCGCTCGGGTATTTGGCAGTGCTCCGCCAGTTGGCGTGATGGAAAGGCGAACTCCGCGTTCCCGCCATCCGCCCCAGCTGTTTGGGAGTCCTGTGTGGCACGAGTAAGTGACTTCAGTGGTATTGACTGGATTAGTGGTGTTCGATATTACAGTTAGTCTTTGAACAGATTTTGATAAGAACTCCAATTTGACCTGCACTCGTTTAGTTAAATTGTAAGCCATAATCTTAGTCTAATTGATAACGTTACTTATAACACGAGGACGTGTTCTTTTCCGTGTAAGCGAGGGGATATGTCGTATCCATACTATTGACACGTGCCTTTTACGCCTCTACGTGACAAGTCTGCCTTATTTAGGTGTCTAATTATTTATCTATCTCCTATAAACGGGTTCATAATCGTCTTTATTTTATGTCTTCACGCAAGGCCTGGTGCCTTCCTTATTTGGTATACACTGTTATTTTCCCACCTAGCTCCCGCTCTTTATGCAACAGTTTGTACACATATTTACTACGGTTTGATACGCTATTGCATGCGGGACCAGCAATCTGGTGGCCATGGACTTCCATGGCCGCAGTTGGATAGTATTGCCATCACCTTCCTTTTCTCTCTATCTCTCTTGCCTTGTGCTCTTCATTATCTTCTCTTGAACTGAGTTACATGTACCCTCCTGTGAAGATGTGAGTAAACCTGAACGCTGCTCTGACTGTACGTGTCTGTATATGCCTGAGTGTGTGTGTGTGTGTGAGAGTATGTCTAGGTATATGTGTGTGCGTGCGTAAGAGTAATTCTGTTGGTGGACTCTCTCTCCAAGTGGCCACCACTGCACGGCCTTGTAATGTGAAGGTTTTATTAGTAAGTTAGTTCATGTCGAACCGCAGCCGTGGGGGCCAACCCCGGGGGCCGACCGGATACGACACATGCAGTAGCCGACTGGCCGAAATTTAAAAAACATGGCGAGCGTCTCAGGATGAATGAGTAAAATGTACTAGTACTTGCATGATGATGATGTGTTGTGTAGAGTGCTGCTGTGGATGCCGCCAGCCTTTTCACGCCCTTTGCGGCCTTTTGCCTTGAACTGGCTGTAACTACTGCCTGTAAAAAAAGGATCTCCTGTCCCCGGGGAAAATTGCGGAAAAAATCGCAAAAAACGCAGGGAAAAACGCGGCATAATATGGCATAATTTGCGGTGAATTTGCGGTAAATATGCGGTAAATATGCGGTGAATAATATTGATGTGCGGCAATTTTCAGTGAGTATGTAGTGAAATCAATCAGTTACAAGTCTCTGGTGTAAGCACTCGTCATACATGTATTTGAGTAAAACGCCGCCACGATGAGACGTTGCTGACCGAACAGTGCACTGTATGTACGTGTAGTGCAACAAAAAAGTTCAAAAAACGCGGGAAAATCGCGGAAAACGCGGTCTTTTAAAAAATAGCAAAAAACGCGGAAAAAACGCGGCCGCGGAATTGCAATTTTCCCCGGGGACAGGATCTCATTTCCTCTGCCCTGCATTGCGTCTACTACGATCTAGCCCGTCTGTGTACCGAGTGACGTGTAAGTGTGTGGACAGACAAGCCTAGCGTCTACATAATCATTATTGCACTGTGCAGGCGACATCGCTCACTGTTGCATGTGATGACACTTGAACAGCTAGTCCGCCTCTGGCGACACAGTCGACAGTCGGCTTCATTTCGGAGTTGGCGTGGTATCAGCGGAAAGATGGGCCTGCAATGCCAATGATTTAGACCTACTCGTAGATCTACTAGTACGTGTTGATGTGCACGAGTAGCACTGTACTTTTGTAGTGTGGAGCAGGCAGTAGAATCTGATGTCATGTTGTACAGTCATGTACATAATCTACGCTTAGATCTACATCTTCTGCCAGATCAGACAGATGAATGAAGCCACAGAGCTCTGGCCGCTGGAGCGTGCAGCGAACGTGTAGAGAGGATCTTGGACTGCTGCACCGTCTGTGCTTCAGTTGAATGCGGAATCGTTTTTTTCTTGCTCGTTGCCGTCTGTAGGTGTTCTGGGCGGATGCGTGTTCTGCTTGCGGCCCTTCATATTGTTATTTTCTGGGAGTTTGAGTGACGCTCCGTCGCAATCTGGTTGGGGAAGTGAAGCGCTTTCGTTCGTTACCTGCCCATCGGCAGGTGGCGTTTAGGTTTGTGGGACTACCAATCGTCCGGATCAACGTTACCAGAATAGCGGTCCCCGGACAGGAACCACCCGGCCGCTTTCGGGAGCAGGTGCTTATCCCTGGCTTGAAGTCAGGTAAGCATCTCCCATTCAGTCCCCAACATTTCACTGAAGGTGTGCGCTGAGTACTAGTAGTACAGCAGCCCTAACCCGTAACGATTTATTAGAAAAGGCTTCTGCTGATGTACAGTACTCCGTGTCGTGTGCTCACATTTGTCCGCATGGTATTGTATTGTTCATAGTGAAGCGCAGCAACAGCAATTCAAACGCGAAGGTATTTCGGCTGCTGCAATATCCACTCACTCTCAATCCTTGTGTTTTACAAGCAGAGAAAATTAGTCGATGAATAATTTCGTCAAATTCCAAAGAAAGGACTTCTTTCAACCGGAAACGGTGACCATTCACGAGAAAAACAAAATTGATTGGATAGTTTTTTTAGCTGAAATTTTAGTGAAAAAGTTGTCAGCGCTTTCTAGGTTCTGCACAGTGCCATAGCTTAGATAGTTAGAGCTATGCTCATGACAAGCAAGGTCGCAGGTTCCAGTCCTGTTGGGGTTTGCATTTTGTTCTCTTTTCAGGGCAGTCCTAATCCCTGACAGATCACTTTGCTGGGGCGCCACCAGGTTCTAAAAAGTTGTATGACCGAAAGGAGGCGAAGAGGAAGAGGGGGTCTGGGGGACATGTCCCCCTTAAAAAATCTTATTATCGGGAGCGGGTTTTGTATTGCAAAGACGTTTCTATCAGTTGAAAACAAAAATATAGGTACTTCCGACTTGTCATTACAATTGTCGCTTCGCACATCGCAATGTTTGTGACTTGATTGTCTAAGTCAGGCTGTCGAAATCACTGATTTATGTGTTCGAACATTGGTATGACCCTTCCCACGCAATTGTTACGAAAGCCGTTGTGGTCTTGGAGCTCTCTTCCGCATCAAACAAATTCTTCGCGTTCCGCAATATTTCGCCCAGAGTGCGAATCTTTTTTCTGTAGTTCATATCGGCCCACATTCCCTCCCACCGCTTTAGGAGCTGTATATGCGCCTTGATCCTTGAAGGGGTGGTGGCGTTCATGCGGATGCGGAAAACTCGGCCTCTAGCCGAGTCTGACGCAAACCGTGATTTTTGCAAACAAAGGAATACGAATCCTGGTATATCTCTTGAATTTGGCATGCTGAAGTTGAGTTTTGCAAGAACAAAGTGCTCTCAAATTCCTGAAATGCGCTACCTGTGGCGCATGTTGCTGCGAATGTAGCAGGCCTGAAACCAGCAACAACATGAGCGAAGTGCTTGTCAAGGAAAGAAGGTGCTGAATTGCTTACCCTATCTCTCTGCTGCTGCTACTGCTACTGCTCATTATAATCTAGTGTAAAAATACTAGTATGACGTCATCACCTGACACCTGCAGGCATCCATTGCTTGAAAACAAAGTTTCATCACCTGAATTTGAACACGCTTCTTGGTCAGCGTTTTGTTGAGTACTGAAGGGTCCGCGTCAAATCCTGGTGAAGACGTCGACCCCAGCCGCAATTGCAGCAAAGCAGGAGGCCACAAATTGAAGCTTAAGCTGTGTTCACAACTGGCGCGTGGACGCGGTAAACTTGCGGTTCAAGCGTGCCCAGATGCGCACTCAGCCTTTCACAAAAAAACAGCAATCCGAGTCTTATTTAGCGTGTTTAGCGACACCTTCGAGTAACAATTTTTTGACCCCGCCAGTCAAAGTGACTGCTGGCATGTACGCTGGTACCCCGCCAGTCAGAGTGACTGCTGGCATGTACGCTGGTACCCCGCCAGTCAGAGTGACTGGCATGTAAGCTGGTACCCCGCCAGTCAGAGTGACTGCTGGCATGTACGCTGCTACCCCGCCAGTCAAAGTGAATGCTGGCATGTACGCTGGTACCCCGCCAGTCAGAGTGACTGGCATGTACGCTGGTACCCCGCCAGTCAGAGTGACTGATGGCATGTACGCTGGTACCCCGCCAGTCAAAGTGACTGCTGGCATATACCCTGGTACCCCGCCAGTCAGAGTGACTGCTGGCAGGTACGCTGGTACCCCGCCAGTCAGACTGACTGCTGGCATGTACGCTGGTGCCCCGCCAGTCAGAGTGACTGCTGGCATGTACGCTGGTGCCCCGCCAGTCAAAGTGACTGCTGGCATGTACGCTGGTACCCCGCCAGTCAGACTGACTGCTGGCATGTACGCTGGTGCCCCGCCAGTCAGAGTGACTGCTGGCATGTACGCTGGTACCCCGTCAGTCAAAGTGACTGCTGGCATGTACGCTGGTACCTCGCCAGTCAGAGTGACTGCTGGCATGTACGCTGGTACCCCGTCAGTCAAAGTGACTGCTGGCATGTACGCTGGTACCCCGCCCGTCAGTCAAAGTGACTGCTGGCATGTACGCTGGTACCTTGCCAGTCAGAGTGACTGCTGGCATGTACGCTGGTACCCCGTCAGTCAAAGTGACTGCTGGCATGTACGCTGGTACCCCGCCAGTCAGAGTGACTGCTGGCATGTACACTGGTACCCCGCCAGTCAAAGTGACTGCTGGCATGTACGCTGGTACCCCGCCAGTCAGAGTGACTGCTGGCATGTACGCTGGTACCCCGCCAGTCAAAGTGACTGCTGGCATGTACACTGGTACCCCGCCAGTCAAAGTGACTGCTGGCATGTACGCTGGTACCCCGCCAGTCAGAGTGACTGCTGGCATGTACGCTGGTACCCCGCCAGTCAAAGTGATTGCTGGCATGTACGCTGGTACCCCGCCAGTCAGAGTGACTGCTGGCATGTACGCTGGTACCCCGCCAGTCAAAGTGACTGCTGGCATGTACGCTGGTACCCCGCCAGTCAGAGTGACTGCTGGCATCTACGCTGGTAACCCCGCCAGTCAAAGTGACTGCTGGCATGTACGCTGGTACCCCGCCAGTCAAAGTGACTGCTGGCATGTACCCTGGTACCCCACCAGTCAGGGTAACTGCTGGCATGTATGCTGGTACCCCGCCAGTCAGAGTGACTGCTGGCATGTACGCTGATACCCCGCCAGTCAGACTGACTGCTGGCATGTACGCTGGTGCCCCGCCAGTCAAAGTGACTGCTGGCATGTACGCTGGTACCCCGCCAGTCAGAGTGACTGCTGGCATGTACGCTGGTACCCCGCCAGTCAGAGTGACTGCTGGCATGTACGCTGGTACCCCGCCAGTCAAAGTGACTGCTGGCATGTACGCTGGTACCCCGCCAGTCAAAGTCACTGCTGACATGTACGCTGGTACCCCGTCAGTCAAAGTGACTGCTGGCATGTACACTGGTACCCCGCCAGTCAGAGTGACTGCTTGCATGTACACTGGTACCCCGCCGGTCAAAGTGACTGCTGGCATGTACGCTGGTACCCCGCCAGTCAGAGTGACTCCTGGCATGTACGCTGGTACCTCGCCAGTCAAAGTAACGGCTGGCATGTACGCTGGTACCCCGTCAGTCCAAGTGACTGCTGGCATGTACGC